GGTGTATACATTCTTTCTGATTGGTACTTCGGGTTTCTTAGGATATATTCCTAGAAGTGGGATCACTGAGTCAAATGGCAGATCCATATTTAACTTTTTGAGGAAAATCCATACTATATAATTTTATTAACCAATGTCACCCAGTAAGTTCAATTAAAAAGAAGCCACCCAGATTAGTATTTTTTTATGGCAGCCCTGCCAAAATAATACACACAGCAATACAAATGAAGAGAGCCACTATACATCAACATGATGAATCAAAATAACATTGTGCTGAATAAAAGAGGCCTTGAACAAAGAACATATACTGTCCGTTCATGTTCGGAAAATTCTAGAATAGGCAAAACTAATTGAGGGGAGAATGTCAGAATAGTCCCTGGGTCACAGAGTGTGGAACAGTGATCAGCTGGGAGGTGACGTGAAAGGGAATGGAGCCATGCTAACCTTTATCCTGTTGTGGTCTGTATAAAGGAATTTTATGGATTTGACAAGTTTACCATTTATTGAATGGTAAATTTGACATTTGTGCATTTTATTGTATGCTAACTTTATCTCGAAAAGACAAAAAGAATCTTTAAATATTGGACTTTTGTTAATGATATGCATGATGAAGTGTCTGGGGGAGTGTACTGATTTTTCAAATTACTTTGAAATGTGCAAAAAATAAGATGATTGATGGACAGATAGTGTGTCTCAACACACTATTCATAAAGTTTTGAACTTTGAGGACACTGAGGGTGAGGATTTATAGAAAGTGAGGAAAGTCTTCCTGAAAACAGAGGGAGAGAGAATCTTTGTTATGTAGTAGTAGAAAGGTTAGCAATACTGTTATCTGCAGTTGCATGAAAAGTAGAACATGTATCAACTGCCATGGGTTAAATAGTAAAGAAGATCTATATATTGTTGAAGGTGTCACCTGATTTCTTGTGACTTAAGAGTAAAATGAAAAGGAGGGAGCGTGGTGGAAAGAGGGACTATGAAAGTAGTCCAGGGTACGCCTGCAAATCCATTTGTTAAGACTGTAGACCCCAGAGTACGATTTAGTCACACAAGAGCTCTATAAAGAATTTGAAAGTTTGTCTCACAGATTTTCTCAAACCTGTCTCTAGGAAGCTTAAGGGGTATTGCTCCTCAATTGCCTCGGCAGGGCACCAAGGCAGGAAAGAGTTTATCTGGAAATGATCTGTGGTTGTGCCCATGACAATGCTGCGAGGCAACCCAGTGGGAGGCTCACATGGTGAGGGATTTAGGCCTTCCAACAAGGGGGTTAAGCCCCTAAACCCTTGCCCACAACTTGACTGGCATTTGATATGTGTAGAACCAGAGGGACAGAACTAAGTCATGCCTGTGAGAGAATAGCAACTATGAGGTAAAGAATTTTTATGGATCCAGAGACAGAGAAGCATTGATCAGATCATCAAACCTCAGAGGGAGGGTTGAGAGGTTGGGGGGAAGGGAGGAAAGTCTAAAGGACTTGTATGCATGCAAGTAAGCATAATTAATGAACACAGACACTAGGGGGGTGGAGGGCATGAAGCGGGGGTGTGGGAAGGGTAATGGGGGGTAAGGGCACATATGTAATACCTTAATCAATAAAGAAAAAAAAGAATTTTTATGTTTTAAGCTACTAACTTTGGGTCAATTTGTTATACCACACTAAATGAATATAAAGAGAATTGAGACACTACCATGGAAAGGTAGAAGGTAAATAAGAGAGTGGTGGGGACATAGTCTTTTCACTTAAAATCATCAAGAGAAATCTCAAAGATAAAGAATGCGAGAGATATGAAATGACCAATGCTGAACTAATGAAACAGTAAGAAAATACAACAGTAAAGATGAGTAAGGCAGGAAGGGATAAGTACTCTTGCTGAAGATTCCTTTATGAAGCAAGGAGATAAATAAAAGGCTGGCTTAAGAAAAAGAACTCCAATTTGGCCTCTGATGGGGAGAGGATGGATCATGGAGCCACTGAAAGGCTACTGACATCATGGAGGCATCAATGAAAAGTCACGAAATCCCTCCGAAGAGATTATATTCCTTAAGGGAACCATAATTACAAAGTCACCAGGGCTGGCTCTGAAATCACTGAGGTTGAGGAGGGAAGAGGGTGATGCAATCTCTAGGAGTAGGGGAATTCATCATTTATTTTGGAAGCAATATCTGGAGAAAAAAAAGAACTGTTGGCAAATCTTTATAATTACATTATTTAGGAGGCCAAAGATGATTAGATGTGAAATAGTTTCTAGAGATGATGTAGTTACATGGGTAAAAAAGTTCTACAAAATTATAAATCTGGGGCTCGAAATACTGGACAGATGAGAGGCATGGATTCAGTAATAGAAGTGAGGCTAGCTGTGGTGCAGGAGGAAACACTACCTAACTTGACAGACACTCTCACCTGGTGAAACTAAAGCCTAAGTATATATTATAGCTAACAGCATAATGCCAGCCAGTTCCTTATGTAAGCACAAAAAATCCTAAAAACATAAAGAACAGCCTGGCCAGGTGTGGCTCAGTGGTTGAGCTGTGGACCTATGAACCAGGAGTGGTTGAGCTCTGGACCTTTGATTCCTGTTCAGGGCACATCACTGGGTTGCAGGCTCAATTGCCAGTAGGAGGAGTGCAGGAGGCAGCTGATCAATGATTCTCTCTCATCATTAGTGTTTCTATCTCTCTCTTCTTCTCCCTTCCTCTCTGAAATAAATAAAAAATATATTTAAAACAAAAACAAAAACAAAAACCATAAAAAACAGTGAGGTGACTAAGCTAATTTTAAAAATTAAAAATTTATATAAAGCATAAAAATAAATTTTTTTATTCAGAAAAAAATGTAATTAGTATTAGAGAATAAATATCCAATCATATCTACCAAATGAGTCAATTGCCTAGCACTGTGTTAGGTACTGTAGTGAACACAAAAGAACCCTGGCCCCCAAGAAGCTTATTAACTAGTTGAAGACTCAAGCTCTTTGTGTATAAACAACCAGAGGAAGACTTAAGAAAGGACAGTCTGCCTGACAAAAAGGTCATCCTTGGTGTGATGATGGGTCCAGAGGGAGGAGAGCAGCTAGAGAAAGGATAGGGAGCCCACAGAGGATCCAGAGGGCAGTCAGGTGGGGTGGAGGCAGAGTCCAGTTCTGATTGTTCAGATGGAGAAACCTTTCAAGGAGGGGCTAGAGGAGGGATACTGGATATCCAGGGTCAAAAAGACTCAACAGGCAGCAGGGTCAGGGAGCTGATGACTCACACGCTGGGATCCAGAGGGTTGAGAATGAAAGAGTGGTAAGAAAAACTGGAATACTGCTATAGTCACCCAATCCTTCATTTCACAAATAATGAGTGCCAATTAGGGGCACAATTCTATACCAGGTGTGTGGATATAAACTCTGTCCTCCAGGTGTGTAGCTTGGTCGGGGAGACCAGGGAGCTAGACAGATAACACTTAAGAGGAAGAGGAACCCAAGAGAGTCCCATGTAAATTCTCTGACAGGGAAATGAAAGGCTTGGAGGAAGGGCTTAGGGCATTTGTCTACCTAGTACTTGAACTCTGTAAAGCAATTTGATAGTAAAAGAAACTAAAGCAGGAGGGAGATGAATAAAATGGGCCATAAAAATTGTAATTTTTTTTTTTCTTTTCTTAGCAAAAAACAGCAATGGCACGTGATCAACAAAGCACATAAAGACATGGTAAATCCAGTGTTTCCAACTTGAAAGAGGAAACACAGATGAAAAGAGAAGTGGAAATACAATAGATCTCTAGCACTTGTTCGCACCCACCCAAGTGGCCATGAACCCATCACTTTGAACCTCAGGTAATTTGTGAAATGGGATACCCTGTACTTCAAAGGGCAGCTATGAGGATTGTGTGAGTAAGGCAGAAAGTAAGGGAAAAGGAAGCCAATCGGGTATGAAGAAATTATTAAGAACCGAGTTCTGCAGGTAGGTCAAAGAAGGCATAACTCTGGTATGGTCAATGAAATAAGTTAAGGTAAAATCAAACCACACCTTGGTGAAATAAATTGAAAGCTAAGGTGGTTAACTGTACGTCTTTGAAAGGATGGTTAAAATTAGAACCGATATAGGGCCTTTGAGCAAAATATTTGATCGCTGAGGAGAAAGCTAATAAAAATGTATATTTCCAGAAAACAACTCCAAGACCATGTGGATTCCTGCAACAGGAGTTGGAATTGACAGGAGTGCCCCGCCATGAAGACAGAAGAGAAACAGTCCAGAGATGGAAGACGCTGACAATGCCTTGCCATACTAGCAAATAGCAGCTGTGAGTCGCTGGAGAATGCCTAGGACTAAACCAGAGGCTGTCGGACCTGCATCAACACCATTTGTCAACCAACCAGATCTGAAATACCATGGCTGACATGTACACATAAGGAATTGTTTGGCATTGAAATTGGGACTCAAAAAGAACTCTTGGCCCAGAAAGGAACTCCCTATAGGCTGGTTCATTTGCCTCTCAGCATAACCATTGGCTTGTCTCAACTTTGGTTCTTATAAGGGAATTCCTTGTATCTAACGCATCTAGGGAAATAATGAACAACATAAATTGATGAACAGAAACAGACCAGGAGACAGAGAAGCAGCGATCAGACTATTAAACCTCAGAGGGAAGGTAGGGAAGGGTGGGGGCAAGGGGAAGAGATTAACCAAAGGACTTGTGTGCGTGCATATAAGCCTAACCAGTGGTCATGGACAACGGGGGTGGGGGGTGGTGGGGGGAGAGAAATACATGGGAAGGGGTTTGGGATGTGAATGGGGGGATGAGGACAATTATGTGATACCATAATCAACAAAGAACTTTAAAAAAGTAAACTAAAAATCAATAAAAATATATATAAGAAATATCTCTCTGCTTTCCTCTTTGCACAGACAAAAAATAATGAACAAATAAAAGAGATCTGAAGTATATTTTTCACTATAATTATTAACACTTCAGTGTTTACTCTTTTTGTCAACCATTATTGAAAGTGCTTTACAAGCTCTCTCTAACCCGATTCTCCTAATTGAGTTGAAACCCGGGAGACGTCAAGATGCTGGCTCACCACTCTTCTCTCATGGACCCCGACACCAAGCTCATTGGCAACATGGCGCTGCTGCCCATCAGAAGTCAGTTCAAAGGACCCACCCCGAGAGAGACAAAAGACACAGATATTGTGGATGAAGCCCTCTATTACTTCAAGGCCAATGTCTTCTTCAAAAACTATGAAATTAAGAATGAAGCTGATAGAACCTTGATATATATCACTCTCTACATTTCTGAGTGTCTAAAGAAACCCCAAAAGTGCAATTCCAAAAGCCAAGGTGAGAAAGAGATGTATACACTGGGAATCACTAACTTTCCCATTCCCAGAGAGCCTGGTTTTCCCCTTAACGCAATTTATGCCAAACCTGCAAACAAACAGGAAGACGAAGTGATGAGGGCCTATTTGCAGCAGCTAAGGCAAGAGACTGGACTGAGACTTTGCGAGAAAGTTTTTGATCCTCAGAATGATAAGCCCAGCAAGTGGTGGACTTGCTTTGTGAAGAGACAGTTCATGAACAAGAGTCTTTCAGGACCTGGACAGTAAAGAGAGCTGGGCAGACCCTGTTTCCACAACCGTGGGCAGCACTTTACAGCAAAACGTACACAGTTCTTTGCCTTTATTTCATAAAGTTTTATACAGAAGAGAGAAGAGAACATGTCTTTACATGAAAGGTTCATTATCAAGAATTTGGGGATGGAGTAGGGTGGGGAGAAGGAACTGTCAAAGGGTGATTTGAAATTTTCTGCAGTATTAAGCTGGTGCTTAATAAGTAATAATAAAGGAATTTCTAACATGTTGTCAGAAAAAAAAAGAAAAAAAAGAAAGAAAGTGCTTTACAAGTATTGGTCTTTTAGTACCCATTGCAATTTTGTGAGGAGAACACAATTGCTACCATAATTTTTCCAATAAGGTAACTGATGCTCAGAGAGTTTAACTTGTTTAAGGTGTCACAGCTCATAGGTAGAAATGCCAATCTGCTCCACAAACTGTTCACAAAATTTGAGTAGAGTCACCCTCCACTGGAAAGAGTTTAGGGCCACTTACAATAAGACTACAAACCATTATTACAAAGATGATAAATTTGGATTGACACTAGCTAATCCTTTAAAAATCAGACATAAGGAGTTTCTAGTCAAAATGGAGGCATAAAATCCTCCCACAATCACATTAAAATTGCAACCCAACTACAGAGCAACCATAATTCAGAACCCCTTGAAATCTAGCTGAACTGAAGTCCTATAGGACTGAGGATATAAAGAGGAAGCAACTGAGACTGGCAGGAGAGGCGGAGATGCCAACAGGCTGGTCCCACACCTATGTGAGGTGGTTAAAAATATCTCGGCTGCAGAGGTCCCACAGAGAGCCAGGGGTCCCAGCCTCACACCAGAACCCCTGGCCCAGGAAAAAGATATTTCATGAAAATAGAAACAAACAGAGCTAAGATAGCAATACTTATACCAGACAAAATAGACTTTTTTTTTTTTTTTTTTAACAAAGGCTACAATTTCAAAAACAACAACAACACACACATGGTAATCAATCAGGTTTGAGGGACACATAATGTGAAAAAGCTGCAAATGGATGTGAGTTGGCAATGTGAAGATTAAAAAGAAACAAAAGGTCATAGGCATTAGAAACAAAGTTTATCAAATGCCCACTGAATTTATCAAATGTCTACTCTGAAGGCAGCAAACACTGCGATAAGAATTCATACAATGGACCATAATGCTGGGTAACATATGGCTCTGGAGCCTGCTGGCAACATAGCATGGTGCTGCAATCACGTGTTGGGAACTGTACCTAAAACAATAAGACTGGATATTTGGTGAAAATATAATACAGAAATCTAAGATACCATTATTGTAAAATATATTTATATGTCAAAAATATTAGGGGGAAAATAGGCCTTGTTTGTTGATAATTAATGCAGCATGGGTCTTTCAAAGCAGAGAAGGTAAAAACTTCCCTAAAATCTGGCCACAGCTGCTCGTAGGGCACAGGGAATACGGTACAGGGTGGAAGAGGATGACTGCAGAATCCAACAGCTGTGACTTTCCCACAGTGACTGTCACCTGTTTGGTTTTCTTTGACGGGACAGGAACTGGAGCTGCCTCCTGCTGCTTCATTTCTACGTCTCCCCCTCCTTCACCATCTGATGCTTCTAGAAAATATAAAATTTAAAAATCAGAAAAGCCTCTCACCCACGCCCCAATTGCTATGACTGCTACGATTTCAGTATGTAACCTTTCTAGAAGGGTCTATCCCCTGACTTAGCAATTCCACCTCTAGGAAGATGCAGTTAAGGGAATGACCCAAAATGAAGCTGGAAATTTCAGCACCAAGTTGGCAGTCTTATTTATATAAAGCTGCAACACTGAAGATTACCCAGATGTCTAACATTACAGGATGTTTAACTAAGGAACACATACACTGATTTTACAGATAGTACACTCCTTGTTTAGATTAAAAAAAAGCTACTGCTACTTAGAAGGAATTATATAATAGGTTATGGGAAATTCTTATTTTGAGTTTTTAAAATACTTCAATAATGGAAAAGATAAAGTCTTATTCTAAGAATCAGAAAAAATAAAAGTTTTAATGTTTTTCCTGTTTATAAAGTTCTCTTAAAGAAGTACAGCAACCCTAAGTTTCCTACCTTCCTCAATGCCATACAGCCTTCCCGATTATTGCAGTTACTTTAAAGAGACATTTGGAAACTTTGAAAGGTTTTACTGATTCCCTTTGAGTTTCTCTATATATATCTCAGTCAGCTCAAAATATGAATTTGTGAGAAAACCTTGGTCAGAATTTAGATTTAGGTCCAAATTAACCCATCTGGAAGTCTCAAGCATTTAAAGTTTGCATGCCATAATGATTAATTTTGTGTCAACTTGACTGAGCTACAAGGTGCCTACATATTTGGTCAAACATTATTCTGGGTATTTCTGTGAGGGTGTTTCTCAATGAAGTAACATTTGAATGGGCATACTGAATAAAACAGATTGCCCTCCCTAATGTGGTTGGTCTCAGATATCCAACCAGATGAAGGACTGAACAGACTAGCCCTCCTCTGAGTAAGAGGATATTTTCTGCCTTTGGACTTGAACTGAACATGGGCTCTTCCTGGATCTGGAGCATGTCAGACTCCAGACTGGAACTAAACCATAGGCTCTCCAGGTCTCAAGCTTGCCAATTCATCTTGCAGATACTGAGACTTGTCAGCCTCCATAATTGCATGAGCCAAAATCCTTATTTTATATCTATATCCAGCTATATACATGTATAGATATATAGATATCTATCCCTTATGTTTCTGTTTTTCTGGAGAACCCTGATTTATACACATACTTTCAACTGTATAGCACGAAAAATAATTCTACCCCCAAAATTAAAAACAAAATAAAATTTTCAAAAAAAATTAACACATGATAATCAATCAGGTTTGAGGGACACAAAATGTGAAAAAGCTGCAAATGGATGTGAGTGAGCAGTGGATGGGTAGAGAATTAACAGGGAATTTTCAATGAGTGATTAAATTGGTATTAAAAGTATTTATAGAATTTTTCCCTTTGGGCAGAAAGTATTAATAATCATATTTTTCCTGATTCCTCCTGCTAAGTACAGCTTAAAATCCTGAGCCTTATATATAAAACAAACATAAGAAGTATCTGAAAGGTAGAGGGAAGAAGGCACACTGGCGAGGGATTCTGGGGCCCAATAAATATTGATAACATAAAGGTGAGCTCCTTAGATTTTCTTTTTGCCTCATTATCTCAGACTTGGATTTTAAGGAGCATCAACTTGAAAATGCCAATTTTGGACCAGATAAAAAAGGCCCCAATAAATATCTTTTCTATTCAACAAAGTAACCAGGAAAGCGGCAGCCTAGTAAGACTGAAAACTTTTAGACAATAATCACTTGACTCCAGCCAACACCACATAAAACTGGCCTCGTCCCCACCAGCAAGCGCTGAGAGGGGATAGTAGATTTTCATCCTTGCAAAGCTGTAATGAGACTCCCTAACTCCTCCTCCATTGCCTATCGAGTGGGAGTGGGCGCCTGAAGGGATGTGCATCCCAGAAGTGGTAACAAACCCATGTTCCCTCCTCTCATCACCACCATCACTGCTGTAGTATTAATGGAGACCACATGGTAAGCCTGGACTTCCTCCTCCTCCTGGCAGTAATGGAATGCACCTCTCACTCCCCATTAGGATAATATCAGAGTCCTATAAAGTCAGGACTTCTCATGCTGCCCAATGGTAACAAGATCACATCCTCACTAATAGTTTTAGCAATCACTAAGAAAGCTTTAGAAAGATACACTCAAAAACAGAAAGATAAAATAAAATAGAATTATAAATATGTTCAAGTAACCCACTGGACATTAGGAAAGAGAAAATAGAGAAACAAAACACAGCAAACAAACAGAAAAAAACCCCAAACAAAATAATATGGTAGATTTAAACCCTAACATATCCATAATTATAATAATGTAAATGGTCTAACCACACCAATTTAAAGGCAGAGATTGAAACAGTGGATAAAAAGAGATGAACTAACTATGTACTGGTTACAAAAAACTTACCTCAAATACAACAATATAGGCAAGTTGAAAGCAAAATGAAGAAAAAAAAATATAACATACAAATATTGATCAAAAGAAAGCAGGAATAGATATATTAGTATCCGGTAAAGTGGATTTAAAAAAAGCAGACTTCAAAACAAATAAAATTACCAGAAAAAGAGGACATTATATAATGACAAAGGGTGAATTTGCTGAGATGACACAGCAATCTTAAATGCATATGCATCAAACAACAGAGCTACAAAATATGAGAAGCAAAACAACAACAAACAAACCTGATAGAAATGAAAGAAGAAATAAACAAACTTATGATTAAGTGGCAAACTTCAACAGTCCTCTCAGAAATTGAGAGAATCACTAGAAAGAAAATCAGCAAGCATATATAGAATAACTGAGTGACAACAGTAACCAACAGGATCTGATAAACATTTTATAGACCACTCCATTCAAGAGTGGAATACATATTCTTTTCAAATGTTATGGAACATATACCAGTATAGATCATATTGTAGGAAGTAAAACAAATTTAAGAAAATTGAAATTGATAAGTAGCATGTAAAAAACCCTACAACAAACATACTTTATAATGCAAGATCAAATGCTTTTCCCTGTGTGAGAACAAGATAGCTACTCTGACCAATATTATTCCACATAGTGTGGGAACTTTTAACCAGTGCAATAAGACAAGAAAGTGAAATAAAAGGCATATAATCAGAAAGAAGAAATCAAGCTATTCCTATTTGCAGATGACATACTGTTTTCATAGGAAATCTCAAGGAATCTTTTAAAACAACAGCAACAAAAAATCCTCTGCTAAAACTAATAAGAGGATCAGCAAAGTTGCAGAATAAAAGATAAACATGCAAAAACCCAATTTTATTTCTATATATTAGAAATGAGCATGTGAACAAAAAATAAATAAAATAAAAATATAGTGCCAGCTGGCCTAGGTGGCTCAGTAGCAGAGTGCTGACCTATGAACCAGGAGGTCAGTTTGATTCCCAGTCAGGGCATATCATATGCCCAGGTTGCAGGCTCAATCCCCAATGGTGCAGAAAGCAGCCAATCAATGATTCTCTCTCATCATTGATATCCTTATCTCTCTCTCCCT